ATCACCTCATCACAGCCAGGAAGCAGAAAGAGACACAGAAAGATGCCAGGCCAAGATATACCCTTCAAAGGCATGTCCCACTGATCCACTTTCTCCAATGTGGTCCTAACTCTCTCAGTTCTTTCACCTCCCAATAATCTATTTAAATTTTGAATACATCAATTAATTATACCATTTATTAGGTCAGAATCATCACAATCCAACCATCTCCAGACACACCTTCACAGATACACTCAGCCATATATATATAACATAGTTAACTCTTAAGTGTCTCTCAATCCAATCAAGTTGACAATCAGGTTTATTACCAAGTGCCTTTAAATAGCCAATAAGTAAAGAATAAAATTTGTCATACACTACTGGATATCACCAGATTCATAATTGTTTATTATTGACTATGTGACTAAACTGTCGGGGCTTGGGGTGTGGCTAAAGTGGTAGGATGCTTGCCTGGTAGAAGCAAGAGTCCTTGGGTTCAATCCAAAGTGCCACACACACATAAACAAACAAATAAATAAATAAAGTTTCAGCTTAGGGGGCCTCAAATATGACTACTCAGTGAACAGAAGCATTTAGATGGAATAAAAATATAGGGTGGCAGTTAATAGGCAAAGATTTATAGGCAACCTGGTTCAAGTATTAGATAAACATCAACCAGATTGACCTCTAGAAACCTTAATTTTTTTTTATCTGCAGCTCCTAAAGTTTGAGTGGTATGCCATAGATAACGTACGAGGTAGAGTATGTGCCACATGGTAAGTGCAACAAAGTGGAGATACCTTTTATGCTAATCATTGCTGACTCTAGACTTTTAACCCCTACAACTTTTAGTTGTAGGGCCTAGTTATTGGTACCTGACACATTTGAACAATGTATTCATAATGCTGTGTCTTATGGATTCAACAAGTACTTATGAAAACCATGTTGAGATAGGCTGCCCAGAACCATGTCTGCCAAAATTTTTGAAGAACATCACAGTCCTCATTTTTGCCTTTTTAGTCAGTGTGAAGAAAGTTAATCAGTTTATATGGACACAGTGAATGATGGCACTGAAATACCCACTCTGTCAAAATGTACCTTTTGATTCTGAAGTCTTTATAATTTGTTTCATGAATGAACTCAAATATATTTATTGAATTGGTATGAAGTAGGCATAAAAATACAGGAATTTTTATGATCATCCAGAGTTATAACTTAATTCCTTTGACCATGTATACAAAAGTTAAATCTTTACCAGCTAACATTGATTGCCTGAATCAACTGAAATTAAAGTCTAATTTATTAAACTATAATTTAGAAATACTAGAGAAATAGATGGCTTGTGACATACATAGAGATAGCTACTCCCATTTATATGTGGATATAAACCAACAATGATTTGCAGTTTAATGTCTCTGTATTCTTTTTAATGATAAATTTATTTCCATATCATTATTAGTATAAATAACTCACATATGGAATACCAATGCAAATACACCAAAGAACCTGAAAATAAATAAGATTCTTTTGTGACTTAAAAGATTTTAAAGAGAGCATCAGCCAGAAATATGCACTGTCACATTAAGAAAATAAAATAAAGCTTCCAAGTCAAGACTGAGCTGTCAGAAATGTGAACACATTTTATAAAAGTGTCTCAGACGAGGGAGAATGGAGACTTAATCAATGGAATTGAATAATAATCCTCATACATTAAGGAAGATAGTCACAAGTCAGCTCCTCAGGAATGCTTTTGAAGATCTGTTCTGAGTAAAGCAAAATCACTACTCTCCAAACACATTCTGAATATTCTTTTGCTCCAGATTTTCCTAGAGGAAGGTATTGTAAATCCTTATAACTAACATGGCCACAAATATTCTAGCTCCTGGTCTTTGTCTAATAAAAACCAATTAGCACTGAGTTTTAGAAAGTCATCTCATTGAACTACTTAATGTGACTCAGCTTTTGAGGGATGAATCTATGAATACAGAGTCTGCAAGACTGTAAGCCATTCCTGGCTCACAGCCAGCTCACCAAGGCACCTCTCAGCCAGCTCACAAAGGCACAGGCCTGTGACACTTCTTGGCAGGCAGCTAGACAGCTTTCCTTGGGGATCCCAATCTCATTACATACTCTCCATTTAAGCTTCTTTGACAAGGAGTGAGATCCTGAGAAAACTTCAGAGTACTTTTTTCTTCATTCAGATACCACAGGCTAAGAAAGATGTAAGGGAGGCACAGTGACCCACAAGAAATGAGCCCAAGTGGAAGAGTAGACCATAGTGAATGTTAGAAATGGTGGAGAGGAGAAATCAGTAAAAAGGAGATATGGGCAAACCTAAGGAACAAGAAGGAAAAGAAAAAGACTATGAGAGAGCCAGATATGTTTCTCATTTTAATATTGACAAGAACTCCACATAACTTAAGATATTGTCTCTCCACACCATTAGTAATAATGAATGATAATACTATTTTGCAAAGCTCATGTCTCATATTTTTCTTTGATTTTACAGATCAATAAACTGAAATTCAGAGGTGCTAAGTAACTTGCCAATATTACTTGAGTTAACAACTAGCAGTAGGGCCCAGTTTTAAACCTAAACCAAATACATGCACTCTTATGCCTCTCGTCCCTCCATAGGCTTTACACTGCTTTACAATCACTACTAATTTATTCATTTGCTTATCAAATACTTGCTGAATGCAACCTATAAGCTAAACAGGCATTGGGGTGCAATGGTGAACTTAACCATGGAGAATAGAGTCTAATTTGGGAAAGAAATAATCACTTTAACTTCATATTAAGTATATGAACTGCTGAGAAGATAGGTCCAGAGAAGACTAGGTGCTTATAATTAGGAATGTCACTTGATTGGTAAAAGTGCAGAGGATTTTTATAGAAAAAAGGGTCTTGAACTGTGATTTGAATGCAAAGACTGAATTGATTGAAATGGGGAAAATAGTCAAGTGCAAAGATCCTGTTGAGGCAGGAAGCTTTAGGAAGTGGATAAAATACTCTGTGGCCACAATGGAAGTAGTAATTGGGAGATTTATGCAAGAGGATTCCAGTGAGTAGACAGTGACTGGTCTGTACACTACACCATATGACTTGCCATGCTTCGTAAGGGTTGCCCCCCAAGCAGTCTTTGAATGAGGACTAGGTTTGTTGAGAAAAGAATGTGAGTTCAGTTCTGTATAGAATGGATTTCAGGTATTTTTGTGACAACTAATAGGAAATGTCAATTAGCTAGACATTATATACATCTAGAATTGAGAGGAAAGCACTGGATTCGAGCTGAATTCTGGAATTCGTGTGTGGACAGGTAACAGTAAATGCAGTGAATATGATTAAATCACTTAGAAAGATGATCAAGTGAAAACCAGAAGCTTTGAAGAATCCCAAGACATTGCCTTCTGCCCTTTTTTTACTGCCAAGAATTACAGCATTTAATGATTAGAATAAAGGAAAACAAAAGAGGAAAAATGTAGATTCCAAAATGAATGAGAAACAACCTGGAAAAGTTTGAGTATCAAAGCCAAGGTAGGAAAGTTCCTTGAAGACAGGAGAGGTCAGCTCTTAAAAATGTTGCCAAGATATTAAATAAGGCAAAGACTGAAAGTGTCTGTTGAGTTTAGCAACACTGGGTTCTTTGCTGATCTTAATGGTCATCTGAACAGGGTAACTTCTGTCTTTTGCTATGCCTCATAATTTAGAGTAAAATAGGATTGGTCTGTTAGAAACTATTTGAGGTAAAGGGACAACTTTGTAGAAGATCTTGTTCTATTTTTTATTATATATCATTTATATATATATGACACATCCATACATGCATACAGCATGTAGTTTTGTATGGTTTCTTAAAAATTTTAGTGAACATTACCTGTTTTCTACATCTGCCAACTAAACATCAACTTTCTCGCTTATCAATGACCACACTATTTCTCTCAAGACCGGAAGGTAGGATGAAAGCATGCTTGTGATTGAAAATTGATTAGAAATATACCGAATTTTTCTTTCACATACAAGTGTCTCTACAGATGATAGTAAAGTAAGAAACATTTGGAAATTACTTGCCACAGTTCAGCCCCAAGATAAGAAATGGGACTCTGAAGCAAATGAGGTATCTAAAAAAAACAGTCCAGCCTGCAGTGCTACATTGGATTGCCTCCTTCTGTGTCTTAGTGCTTTGTGCTGTGAATTTTTCAAAGATGTGGTTGTTTGGAACAAATATATATAAATGTTGAAGTCACATCATGAAAGAGTTTCTTAAAACATTTGCCTGAGTGTGAAAGGAAAGTACTGAAGTAAGATTAGAATATCAAAAGGACTCAGGCGCTCCACTGAGTGCTTTTCATTTGATAGGCTCACCTTTACGTGATAACCACATACACAAATGCACACTGTGTACATACATGCAAATACAAAACACATAGTCTAAAAGGTACTGAAGAATATGAGTTTGCCTCTTGGTTGACTTTTAACTTTTCTGAAATCCTTGGTAACTAAGTTATCATAGTGGTAACTAAGTTATCATAGTGATAACTATAATCTACAACTTATTCATTATTTTCCCTTTTCCTCTTAATCGTATATTATTAGGATATCTTTTTGGGGGTTTTCATAAATTAAAAGAGTTTTAGAGTGGTTTCAGTGCTTTACTATTCTTGCAAGAACATAATTTGGACAGATTTTCTCTAAAACAGCCCAAAAATGTGTTTTTTCAAGTCTTTTGCCACCCTCCCCCCCAAATGTAATCAACTATTGGAAGCCACAATCTTCCAAATTTAGAAAAGTCTAAGAGATCTGATTTGATACCTCACACCTACTTGAGTGATATATGAAAAGTACCAAAATTCTCATATAAATAGACAGCCCTGGAACATCCTAGTCATAAAGGAAGGCTTACTTACCTTGATGGAAAGCTTGTAATAAATTAATTTCTTCTTGTGCTGGAGAACTTCTACTCTGATGAGTTACTGGTGACCACAATTGCTATTTGTTTCTATCTTTTTCGTTAACTTCAGAGCACATTCAGAAAATGAAGGAACCTCTTTACCGTCTGCTGACTCCTGTACCAGTCCCACAAAGATGGACTCACCATATAGTAAGACTGCTAAGCAGTGCTTGGAGGAGATATCTGGTAAGTAACCTGATTGAGGGCTTGATCAAATGTCACTATTACTGGCATTTCCCTGTCTTTTGATTAAGTCATATTTGGCTATACTTTTGCAAAAAGGGGCTCTACATTTCATACCTCTGAGATTCTTAGATAGTTGTCTATTCTATTTAGAATTATCTGTTTGTTGCTCAGAAGAGACAGGTAGTGCTTTCAGAAGCTGATACTGTGAATTGTTTTGCCCTCAGTCAAGTTGAACCCTATCTGGTAAACCTCAGGACCTTCTGTGATCAATAAAGCAGCCCTTGGACTATCTGTAGTTAGTAAGGCAGTCCTTGGATATATTTGAAGTTTATTTTTATGAATACTTCAACCCTATTCTGTTTTCAGTTCTGTGCTATTTAGACTATTTCTCCAGGATGGCTCCAAATATGCATCTTGGAAAAAAATCTAACTAGGGAAATATTTCATTACACACATATAGCTAATGTAAGAAAAAAAAATACACACCCAGACACAGTTCATTAGATTTTTGACTGTATAAAAATGGATTTTCAGCTTGAGCCCAGTATTTTTTTCTGGTATTCAGATAAGCCGAGGCCTATATGGAAGTCCTTTGGCATATGTATATATAAACTGTATAAATAAACTACATGTCTATATAAACATATATGTCTATATAATGTGTCTATAGGAAGTTACAACCATTTATAAGAAATGTGTATATATATAGTATATATATTTATTTATACAATGTATACATGTATATTATGTACATACACACACATATGCACACATATATATGGAGCCAAGTAACTTCTTAGTAAAATATACTGTCCCTAATGGAAAGGTTTAAGAAGATTTTATCTATTTGCAAGTATAAGAATGCATGAAAGTAGAGATATGTTTGTTATTCCAATGAATCTATGACTTAGGCTTTGTGTATACACAGCAAAGGGAAAAAGAGTTAAGTGAGTTGTTTAATTTTTAAGTTTCTGTAATGATCCAGAGACTCAAAGTGTAAGTATTGCTGTGAAGCTTATGAAGGTAACCATATGACCTTTTGGGGAATTAAGAAACCTCTGCACTTTTGGTAGCCCTGAAACACAGTTTGGTAAGAATTGGATATTACTGCAATATCTGCTAATAGATACTGATGACTACAGCAAAACAACATCACACAGGCACCTTTTGGGTTAATATTAGTGATATCATTAGGCACCAGAGGTTTCAAATGGAGAGTACAACAAAGGGTCACTGTAGGAAGGTGGTAGAAATTGTAAAGTGAAGACTTAACTGTGGTGATGGTATTTGTAGATTTTTCATCTGTTCACAAATGTTCCTTTCTACTCTAGTCACCTCCCCTGCTTTCTGGACACAAATATCCAATGCCTTATATAACCTTTCCATTTGAATATCTCACAGATATTTCCAACCCATTATGTCCAAAACTGAGCCCTCAAAAATTTTCCATTTGTATCTTCAACATTTTGGTTAATATAATTCTATCCTGCATGTTGCCTAGACCTGAAATTTTAGAATCACTCATTCCTTCTTATCTCTTGCACCTGATGTCTGATCCATTAGAATATCTTGGCTCCATGGATGTTGGTTGCTATCCGAACTCAGGAACAAGTACTATATGTGAATCAACTTTATGAGATATTCTAAAAAGTTGTTATTATGTCTCAGAGACTCAGAAACTAAATAATTTCAGATGACACTGTGTGTGACTCACTATAAGAACTAAAGAACTGAATAATCTAAGTAACCTAGAATTGTATTTTCAGAATACATCCAGAATTCAGCCCCTTCTCTCCATTTCTATTTTTGTCTATTTTATTCACTAGTACATCTCTAATGTATGGTTGGTACATAGTTACAACTCAATAAATGTTTATAAAATAAAGTTAATCTAATGAACATATCCTAGAAATGAGGCCCACAAGGTAGGACCCTAATAATTTCCAGGTGGATACAATAGACTGAAAAGGCAGGGAAGATACCCTTGGCTTGGAAAGCATGTCAAAAATAGTAATCACAGTGAACTTAGGATGCATAACACTCCACTTATGAAGTTGATCTGAGTGGAAAATCAAGTATTAATTTTGATTATACCATCACTGAATAATCAAAAGATATGAAAAATAAAATGTTTAGTCATTCTAAAGATCTAATATAGTAGTCCAGAAAAAAATGTGAAAAATGTAAGAAAGAAGGATAGATCATAATCATAAGACTATTTCTATAAAAGAATGAACCTGTCAGAAGTCTAAAGCTTATGAGATACTTCTTTTATTAGTGATGCCTTCCTTTTTCAGATTGTCCATCCCTTACACTATTTTCCTTGTTTAGGGGATCTTTATTTTTGTTACTATATTGTGGCTACTAGTGATACCACAAGCTACATGAGAATTTGAATTTACTGCCAAGTCCTTGCTTAGATTAGGTCTATCATATTCCTTCAAGGGAATGTAATAGTGTGTTCTTTCAAAGATAAAATCAGATGTGGAAGGACAGATGTTCTAAGAATTTTTTAAAAAGTGAATTCTGACTTCAGCACTATAGTTATTTAGCTTTTAAATTTTCTCTTGGCTTCCTTCTCTGTGAGGTGACTATAATGATATTCATAAACTGTCCACAGACTGCTATTCTTCCACTTATCCTTTCATTGATCTTTTTCTGTTGTACATGCCAGGCATCCCAAAAGTTACTAAACTAAAATGACTAAGACATGAGATCTCCTATGCAAGAATAAGGACAAACAGATAATAACTCGATAGATAATAGATAATAATAGATAATAAACTTGAATACCACTAGTCAGTGAATTAGTTGAAACTTGGGAACAACTAACTTAGCTGTAAAGAGTAAAACAGAGCCAGGCACCAATGGCTCATGCCTGTAATCCTAGCTACTCAGGAAGCAGCAATCAGGAGGATCATGGTTCGAAGCCAGTCCAGACAAATAGTTCATGTGACCCTATCTTGAAAAACCCTCCACAAAAATAGGGCTGGTGGGGTGGCTCAAGGTGAAGGCCCTGAATTCAAGTCCCAGTACTGCAAAAAAAAAAAAAAAAGTAAAGCAGATCTTAAAAGAAAGAATGCCAGACATATATGTTGTGGAATCCTCATGGACAATGAAATCAGAGAATACTATTCCAAGAAGAAGCAACTTCATGAAAATGATTTAAAACAAATTCTCCTCACCTTATTGTTTTCATTAGTTTATTTTTGTAAAACTAGGCATTTTTCTTAAATTTATTAGGGTCTTTTTAGCTCACTGATAGTCTGAAATCCAAAGTTTCTGTGCCATTGCTGTTACTAAGCTGTTACTGTTAATGCCCCATGGGGCCTTGATGGGTAGTGCTTATGACTTGCTTCTCAAGTGAAGTGGCCTCCATAGTATAGAACTCTGCTGGAGTTAGTCTTGGCAGGGAAAGGTCAAAGTTTTGTGAACTTTTGAAGCCTTTATGATTTGTGGGGGGTCTGAAATTAATACAAAAAAATTGCACAATTGTGTCCAGTTCCTTGGAAAATGTTCAAGTGCATTTGGAGACCACTCACCAACATATCCCTTAATCACCTTTGGCTCTACAGTAAACCTACCTTGAAGACCTGATACAATTTTTCCTGACCAATGTGTATTGTCCTAACTTCTCATAACAGCCTCTTTATTCTCTTTGGTGATCATTCTTAATTCAAATGGCCAGGTGCAATGGATCCAAGTAGAGCCAATCAGAATGACTCTTCCTTGACCACAGTATCAGAAATGGATATATGGCCAGTCTAACTTAATCAACAAAAAAGATTCAGTCCTATAACTTTTCCTGAGACTGTCATGGGAGAGATGTTTTCTCTAAAGCTGGGCACTGCCCATAGTTGCCTTTGCTGCCAGATGAAACAAACAGAAAACAAAACCTAAGGCAGCAGAGATCCAGCCTGAGGTCATTGTGGGAAATGTCTAAGCACATAAACAATCCATATTTGAAACTACCCTGTGCTACTTTTCTGCAGTTTGTAGCTATATCAGCCAGGAAAAGTTCCTTTTTGTGGTTAAAAAAATGTGAAGAACATCCCAATTCCATTACCTGCAAGATGCTTGACATGTAAAGATTTGCGATGCTGCTGAGGAACAAACTTAGTTCATACTACAATGCTGATATGTTAGAGTTGCTAAGTTAGGTGGGAAGCTAAGCAATACCTCATTTGAAATTACAAAAACATTGTCATTAGATGTTATTCTGCAACCCTGAGTTTCAGTGCTTTTATTATTGTTTAGCTCTTATTGCTAGTAATCCATGGGGTTCTTGATGGGGAGTAATTATGACTAGCTTTCCAAGTAAAGTGGCCTTCATGATATAGAACTCTGATGGAATTAGTCTTGGCAGAGTAAGATCCAAGCTTTGTGAATTTTTGAAACATATAATTTGGAGAGGTCTGAAAATAATGTGAAAAATGACAAAATTGCAAAACAAAAAAATTCTATTACCCAGAAGATGCAAGATTTGCAATACTGTTGAGGCACAAACCCATTGAAAATAAAAATGTAATTAAATTATGGTATGAAGATAAACACCAGAAATGAGTCCTGTGGCTTTTACAATTTGGAGATCTTCATAAGTCTTCAAGAATATCTCTCTAAAATCTTCAGGTACAGCACTCAAATATCCTTTGTTTGTCATGTTCTTTTAGAGAAAACTTCCTGACATTTACCTAATCTGATGATGGTGGTTCCCATAGTTATTATTAGATATTATATAATTCACAGAAATGAGTGAGTGAGCTTATTGCTTTTAGCTTATCACCTAAGATGCATGTCATGACCTTGATATTAAAAGACTGCCTGAATTGATGGTGTAGATTTTACTGCTTTGGCTTGGGTTTTATTCTCACATTCATTAACATAAAGAATTTCTACTCTGAGGCCATCACTTTCAAGTGCCAAGAGATCCTTCCAAATGTGAAGTGAGCCTAAATTCTCATTTAATGGGTATCATTCAAGAAAGTTTCTAGATTTTGTTT